TTTATGAAGTTAATATCCATTAATGTAAAGGGGCTAAGGGGCATATTAAAGAGGAAGGAGGTGGGTAAGTTGGTAAGAGCAGAGTGCCTAGATGTTTTACTAGAGACAAAATTAGAAAAGGTTGAGCATACTTTATGTAAAATGTTGTGGTTTTCGGATGAGTTTGATTGGGTAATGAAGGAATCAGTTGGAGTCTTTGGAGGTTTGCTGTGTTTGGAATAAGTTGGAGTTTGTGAAACAGGGAGAGTTTTCAGATGATCGTTTTGTGGGTATTTCAGGTGAATAGGGATTACAAAAGTTGAAGTGTAATTTTGTGAATATTTATGCTCCAAACGATAGACAAAAGAAAGTAACGTTGTAGGAAGAACTTCGGCAAATGATATTGGAAGAGGAAGGCAAATGGCTGATTGCAAGAGATTTCAACGCAGTTAGGTGTGTAACCAAAAAGAAAGGGTAAGACAGGGGAGTCATTGGAAATGAGGGACTTTGATGATTTTATTGTGTCAGCTAGGTTGGTGGATCTAAAATTGGTAAATAAACGTTTCACGTGGTATTGGTCGGATGGGTCATCCATGAGTCGTTTAGACAAGGTCTTGATGTATGTTGAGATGTGTAGTTTGGGAGGGGAATGGGTGCAACAAGGATTGAAGAGGATTATGTCAGATCATTGTCCTATTATGGTTAAAACAATAGCATCAGATTGGGGACCAAAACCTTTCGAGTGTTTGATGCATGGTAGCAACACCCACAATTTAGGAATTAGGTGGTTGAGGATAAATGGAAGGAATTAAATGTGGAAGGGTATGCTGAATACAAATGTTCGCAGAAGCTAAAGAGGTTGAAAGAATTTTTGAAAGGTTGGAATAAGGAAGTGTTTGGGAACATGGAAGCAAAATTTCAAAATGCTGCAAATAAAGTAGAAAAGATTGACTTGCAAAATGAAGTGATGGAATTGGAGGGAAGTGAGGTGGATCAAAGGAAGGAAGGTTTATAGGAGATATGGGATATTTTGAGGAAGAGAGAGGCCATATGGAAACAAAAATCAAGAAGTGATTGGGTTCAATTGGAGGATCAGAATATGAGATATTTTCATAAAATTAAAATGGGAAAAAGGCCCATAATCATACCTCGAGATTATTGTGTGATGGTCATTGGGTAGAGGCACCAGATATGGTAAAGAAAGAGGTGGTTATTTACTTTCGCAAGATGTTTCAAAAAGAATCTTGAAATCAACCCAAGCCTTCAAATATTGTTTTCAAGAGAATTTCTAAAGAACAAAAGGAGTTGCTTGAGAGACCTTTACTGTTGTGGAGATTGAAGAAGGATTGCAGAGCTGTGATGGAAGGAAAGCCCTAGGGCCTGACGGGTATAATTTTAATTTCCTTAAATTTATCTAGAATAGTGTAAAAGAAAACTTTGTTGATTTTTTTCAGGAATTTCATCATAACAACAAGTTCGTGAAAGGGTTGAATTCTTCTTTCCTTACATTAATTCCTAAAAAGCTGAGCCCTAAGGAATTGAAAGATTTTGGGCCTATTAGTTTGATAAGTTGTGTATACAAATTGTTGGCTAAGGTGTTAGCTAATAGGCTTAAGATTGTAATGTCAGAGATTATAAGTGAAATGCAATCTGCTTTTGTTGGGGGAAGACAATTAGTTGACAATGTTCTGGCTTTAAATGAAGTTGTGGATGAGGTTCAAAATAGGAAGAAACCAGCTTTTGTTTTTAAGGCAGATTTTCAAAAAGCTTATGATTGTGTTAACTGATAAGATCTGGATTGGATGATGGATAGGTTTGTTTTTGGAGCCAAATGGAGGGGGTGGATTATAGAGTGTCTCTCAACTGTAAGGGTTTCGGTGCTGGTAAATGGAAGCCCAACAAAGGACTTTGAGATGGAGAAAAGGTTAAGGCAAAGGGGCCCTTTGTCTCCTTTTCTATTTTTGATGGTTGTGGAAGGGTTGAATGGATTTTGTTAAAAAAGCATAGAATGAGGGATTGTTACATAGAGTACAAATTGGTAAAAGAGGGCTAACAATTTCTTTGTTACAATTTGTAGATGACACGGTTATTTTGGCTAGAGCTAATAGTGAAAATATTCTCATGGTCAAAACTATTCTAAGGTGGTTTGAGTTAATGTCGGGGTTGAGGATTAATTTCAGCAAAAGCAATGTTTATGGGTTTAATGTGCCAAAGAGATGGGTAAGAGAAGCTGCAAGTGTTTTGCGTTGTGGTATAGGGGAGACACCTTTTATTTACTTGGGAATGCCTATTGGGGAAAATCCAAGGAGTAAGAAGTTTTGGGATCTAGTTGTTAGTAAGTTACGTGCTAAGCTAGCCGTCTAGAAATCTGCCTTGCTATCCTTTGGCAATCATCTCATGTTGCTTACTTCGATACTCTTTGCCTTTCCTACTTTTGTTATGTCTTTGTTTTTTATGCCGAATTTTGTGCATGTTCAATTGGTTAATATTCAAAGGGTTTTTTTGTGGGGGGGGGGGAATGAGGACAAAAGGAAGATATCGTGGGTTAAATGGGAGGCTATTTGTTGTAGCAAGGTGAAAAAAGAACTAGGGGTTTCGGATTTGCGTCAGAGAAATTGGGCTTTGTTAGGGAAATGGTGGTATAAGTTAGGGGATGGAAGGGAGGGTTTATGAAAACGAGTAGTGAAAGAGAAATATTATGATGGTGGCCGGGAGGTGAGTATTACAGATGTGGAGAATTTGCGAGTGTCGAAGCTCTAGGGTGACATTATTAGTATAGGTGGGAAATCAGATAGGTTAAAGAACATGCTGGTGCAAGGGTTTCGGTGGGAGGTAGGGGATGGTAGTAGGGTGGGTTTTTAGAGACAGACTTGGGTGGGGAATAATTTTTTACTAGATTTATTTCCATGGCTTTTTCAGTTAACCATAAATAAGGATGGTATGGTTCAGGAGAATGGGAAATGGGAAAGGGAAAGTTGGAGATGGGAAATAGGGTGGCAGAAAGCAATGATGGGTTGAGAACAGGATGAGGAAAAGAGGTTGTGGGAGATGCTGGGCAATGTATAGCTTAGGAAATATGTGGTAGACTCTTGCTAGTGGAGGTATGATGTGGAAGGTAGATATATAGTGAAGAAAGCATATGACTTCTTAGCTCCTGTTGAATGCTTGCTGGAGGACCAGTTGTGTAAATTGATTTGGTGCAAGTTGGTGCCTTCTAAAGTGGGTTTTTTTGGGTGAAGGTTGTGCCTAGATAGACCTCCAACAAGATGGAATTTTCAAAAAAGAGGGGTGGCCTTACAGGGGGATGGTATGATGTGTGGTCTATGCAATAAAGGTGTGGAGGATGTTAATCATCTGTTTTGCATGTGTATGGAAGCTTGGTTAGTATGGGTTAAGGTGATTCAGTGGTGGGGTATGGAGGTGGTGATGCCAGCTACAGTGAAGGGTGTGGCAGACATTTTCATCTAGTGGTTCGGTAGTTTGGTGGGTAAGGAGATGGGTGCTTACATTTTTCTTGTTGTCTCTTGGTATTTGTGGTATTGGAGAAATGTTTTGATATTTCAGAGTAATGGGGATATTAGGGAACAATTGTTGGAGTTGATTCAAGTTAAGTCTTACTTTTGGATTAGAAATAAGGTGGTTGGGTGTGCTTTTCCGTTGGCTCAGTGGCAAAGTAATTCGGTGGAGTGTGCAAGGAAGCTAAAGTGATACAAGAAATCTTTGAAGTTGTTTAATCAGCAACAAAAGTGGCTTCTTTCAAGTACTTAAAAACAATTTCCTATGTAGCAATGCGTTCTTTATTGGGTGTACTTGTTGTCTGGGTGGTTTATATTTTTTGGACTTGCAGTGTCTTTTTGAACTATTTGTAGGTAGTAATTGTTTTACTTTTTCTGTGGAAGGGCAGGATACCCCTTGTGCTCCATTAAATAAAATATATTTACTCTACTGATAAAAAAAAAAGTATGATCAAGAGAATAATAATAATAATAAAAGAGTTGTGTATAGTTTAATCTAATACAAACTGCATAACTACATCCATTAATGGAGGAGAACCCCTTGATTTCAACGGTCTTCTTCCTCTTCAAAATTAATGGTCAATTTTTTGTCAAACGGTGAAAAAGCGTTCTCTAAGAGAATTATCCATTATGTTGTATTTTTATATTGTGCCAACTAGATGTAATTTAATTTATATTTTGTACTATGCAAACCAGTGTGAATTAATACTATGTTTACACATGTATTTCACATTAAAGAGGATT